TTTTTTTTTATTTCTTCCTCTTCCTCTCCTTCTTCTTCTCATCTTCCTCTTCATCTTCTTCTTTGAATTATAAAGATTTAAAATCCCGATGGCCACGCGTCTCACGAACGCTATGGTCTTTTGTCAATTTTCTCCTAATCTATATTATTATTATTATTATTATTATTATTATTATTATTATTAATATTATTATTAATATTATTATTATTATTAATATTATTAATATTATTATATCGATCTCTCAATCGTGGGCTTTTTCAAAGCATTTGGAAAAAGAAAGGAGGGAGCTTTCGATACGATTCACTAAAACGTGAACCCGTTTTTCTTGAGCTTTCCTTCCTCGCTTTGATTAAAAAAAAAAAACAACAACAAAAAAAAATAAAAAAAATTAATTTATTAATTATTTAATTATAATAATAATAAAGCGCGCATATTCATTTGCACAAAAGACAATCCGCGACGACTAAACCTACGAGAATGTATTTTTATTCATATATATATATATATATATAAATATATATAAAAGGAAAGAAAATTGGACGAATGAACACGATCATCGGCTAAGAAAATAATAACGTGGCCATTCATCATCATCATCATCCCTCTCCTCCCTTTTGTTTTTTTTACTTTGCATTATATACAAAAATAAAACGAAACGGAGAACAAAAATAAAAAAATAAAAATAAAAAATACATACATCAAAAAATGAATATAGGTGCGTGTATCGCGAAGAAAGAATTACAAAAAAAAAAAAAAAATAGAATAAAATAAAATAAAAAAACGTTGCTTTTTCGTACGGCCCCCCTCTCTACCCTCGAGCTGTCGGCACCTATTCAGAATGTGCCGGACAGCACATATTTTTTAATGGTATGCGTGTGTTGTTATTGTTGTTACTGTTGCTGTTATTATTATTGTTGTTATTGTTGTTGTTCGTAGTTAAACGTTATATTGGATGTTTACTTTTTAAATCGGTATTGTTGTGTTGTATAGCATATAATTTTTAGTCGTAATAATTATATTGTGATATTGAGCTACCTAATCTAATATTTACAAAAGTTTTCATTTCATTTCATTTCATTTCATTTCATTTCCTTTCATTTCATTTCATATCATATCGTTTCATTTCACATTAATTATTCGCTCTTGGCACTACTAACTTAATCATTCTCATTTAATCATTCCGCTATTATTCATTTTTTATTTATTATTTTACTTATTTTTTTTTTTTTTAATTATTATTATTCCTTATAGCCCTGTGTTTCTTCAATATTTTTGCTTTTTTTTTTTTTTATTTTATTTTCCTTACTTCCCAATTATTGGTCTCTTCTCCTTCTTTTTTCACCCYCATATCAACGCTCGCATTTATACCAATTAATATTTTTTCTCATTCACTCTATCATTCTTATTCTCATATTGACACTCTCACATACACACAGACATTCCATTGTATTCTTTTATTCATTCACACACACACATATCATCGTCTGCCAGTATCTCTCACAGGTATGAGATGACAGCAGGACGCGCGAATATATCCTTGAATAAATAATTTACTAAGTCTTTTCTCGCGTGTGAAGAAAAAAAAAACAAATTTCTTCTTCAGCGACACTTTTGCGAATCGTCCATTCGATCGTTTTTAAATCAACGTGTCGAAAGGGGTGGAGGGCGGGTGGGGGTCCGAGAAGGAGCAGGAGGCGAGCGATAGTTGTTTTCTTCTTTTTCTTCTTCTCCTTATATTTTATTTATAATTATATTATATTTACCCCCATCGTCATCCGATTTATATTTCTATCTAATTCTTCAATCCTCTCTCTTCCTTTCTCTCTCTCTCTCTCTTGGAACGAGATTTTTTACTTGGAAATGAAAAAAGAGAAACCCATCATCTTCCACCTAATACGATTTTTGTTCACTTTTTCTTACTCTTTCTCTCTCTGTCTCTCTCTTCGCAAGATCTAATCTCATCCTCATTTATCACGCTTTGGAATATTCTGAGATCTACAGGATTGTATTAATATAGTTTAAAAAAGAGAAAGAAATAAAGATATATGGGGTTTTGGGGGTAGGTGGAATAAAAAGTATAATCCCCTTTTGGTATCTTTTCATCCATCTCTCTCTCTCTCTCTCTCTCTCTCTCTCTCTCTCTCTTTCTCTTTTCCTTTAAACTTTATTATTTGTTTAGGCGCCGTTCTCGTTTGGTCCTCGAACCAAAAGCAAAGGAGAGAAAAGTCATGTGTCGCCGTTTTGCTATTGGTCGTAGTTCAGTCTTCAATTGGCGTATCGCGAAGAAAGAGTAATAGAAAATCGTTTCATCGTTGTTATTATCTTCTTCGTCGTCGTTGTTATGTTTACTGCAACTGCTGTTGTTGCAGTTGCAGTTGGTGTTGTTGTCGATGATGGTCGATGACGTTGTTGCTGGAAGGAACTGGAATAGAGGATGAGTCTTTTTCGTTTTAGTCTTTTCCTTTTTCTTCTTCTTTTTTTTCTTCTTCAAAGAAAGGAACGCTCGCCTCTTCCTTCGCCACAAGGATCCACCACAATCACCATTAGCATTGCCATTGTCACCATAATCGCCACTACTACTGGCCTCGGATCAAACGCGTTTTTGCCTATGTTGACTCTCGTCCGTTTCACAAGGCACCACCGTCAATGTGGACAAATTACTGAGGTTGCTACTGGATTCGGAATAACTTGACAGGGTGGTCTTTTTCGGTGGGGATTGTGGAGTAGATTGTTGTGACAATGACACCGTTGTAGACGTAGACGTAGACGTAGACGTGGACGTAGAAGAGGTTGTTAATGATGACGACGTTGATGTTGACGTTGACGTTGACGTTGACGTTGACGTTGACGTTGTTGACGTTGATGATGACAATGACGTTGATGTTGAAGATGGCGTTGGCGTTGACGATGACGGTGACGATGACGACGACGACGATGTTGTTGTTGTTGTTGTTGTATTACTACTACCAGAACTTGGAAACTTTCTAAACATTTTCAGCAATGAGCTACCCGCGCTATGAGAGCGTACCCTCTGTTCGGGTGGCTCCAATGGTCCTGATTGACTACGATAAGGGGGTGGACTTTCGCTATCGAAGATAGTCCGGTTTGGTGGTGGCCGTATGCACTTTTGGTAGATCTCGCTTTCCTAAAAAAAGAAAAAAAAAACGTTCATATTTATTTTGTTAATATTTATATACATTATTTTACTTTTGATTTAAATATAAAATTAACAGTTAGGTAAATAATAGATCTGTATATTGTGTATAAGAGGGATTTGTGTGCATCTACAGGAGTGCACAGGAAAATATGATATCAAGTGAATGATGAATGGCAAGGGACGATCTTCCAAGTATTTTTGTTCGAATCAATACTCTCTCTCTCTCTACCGTTCCCCCTCTTTGCTACCCCTTCCCAACCTTGACGTTTACATTTAACAGTATTAATATATTATTCGTAGTAAAATGTTAGAAGGATGTTGTACGCGTACCACCACCCCAACCCACTTCGGGGAGTGGATTTATTCAAAACGGTATATTCTCTATCCGCGCACCGTATAAAGCGTTTTCAACTTCCGCACCACTCGATCCTTTTTCCGCACAGCAAGGCAGAACCGAGCGAGAGAACATAGGCTGATGTAATAGTAGTAGTAGTAGTAGTAGTAGTAGTAGTTATGCATATAGATATAGTAATAGGAAGTGCGTTCCGTAACGAGTTGCGAGATGCTTTAAAGCTAAATAACGTATTTTCTAGCGGATCGTAACAAAACGACCCGTTGCTCGTCGTTTCCCTTTCTCTCTCTCTTTCTTTCTCTTTTTCTCTCTTTTCACGTTTCTCCACAACTCCCGGGGTATATTGTGAGTGGCTTTTACAGTTTTTCCGATAAAGATCGTCCGACCGAAACGAGAAATTGATCTCGTAAGGGTCACACACACACATATAATTAGATTTATATTTACAACAAGATATCTAATTTTTTTTTCTATGTGATAAATCTAAAAATAATTAAAAAAAAAAGAAAAAAGAAAAACAAATGTATTGCATATTATTCGTTTGCGTCATTGATCCCAACGTTATCGAATTGTTTTGACTACGCGATTAAAAAGAATGACTGAACGAACGAGAGAGAAACTGACGAATAGGTAGGAGGAAAAGAAAAAGAAAAAAGAAGAGAAGGAGAAGAATGAGGAAGGAAACGACCGAAGGGAAAAAATAAAAATAAAATGACGACAAAGAATTTGTCTAACCTGCAAGGGGTCACGAAGATGTATGTTGGTTTGGGCACCGTATGGGCGTTCCTCGCCATCTGGAAGTTCCAATCGTGGAGGTAAATTAAGGGCGAGATCTTGCCTGACGCTACCGGTCCTAATAGCCCTGTCCCTAGCCGCGGCTACCATTGCTTCTTGTTGCAGGACGTAACTATGTCCACGTACTGATGCAGTTGCTATTCTAACACCACGTGCCAAAGTTGTTGGGTTCGTTGTCTCGCCACTTCCACCATCTCTGCGTCCACCCCTGCGTCCTCCAACTTCACCTTCTCTTCCGCCTCTACGAACGTCCAATGCCGAACCCATCGATAGCATCTAGAAAAAATATACATGTAAAATAAATTAGGTATAAATAATAATTCTTGGTTAGGGTTCAGGAAAGATAATTTGTGTGTGTGTGTGTGTATGGGTGTGGGTGTTCGTAAAGAATATTTTTCCTGTTAGCCAAGAAAACAAATTATCATTATTATAAATCATTTCCCAACCACGTTAAATAATCTTAAGCTTTCTTCCTATCCTCCTCACCCCCTTAATCCTCATTGTACTTCAGACTCTTTCCATTGTTCGTAAAAAGCGTCTAAGCTCGGTCTAGCCAGCCAGTCGTTGTGTTGAACGAAGCCAATTTGTTGAGGGTCGTTCTTTGAATTATTACTGTGTTACCACTACGATTCTTTTTTTGGTTTTTAAGAAAAACGATCAATCCTAAGAGTCAGACAACACATCGTCGCGTCGAGAGACAAATTTAGTTAATTAATTATTAAATGTCATACGATTGAGTTACATGTATATCGATAAAAATAAGTGGGACACGATTTAGTTCATGTTTATTACAGATTTATTTGCTTATACATTGCAACACATTGTTAATTAATAATGATTCTTAATATCGTATTATAGGAACGACGATTTTCTTCTTCTTCTTCGTATAATAATAACGCGGATGCACACACACGCATACATACATATACACTAACCCGCGCGTCACGGCTCAAAATCTCTTTGACGTAAGCCGGAAGTTTCTATGAATATGTTAAAAGCTGGGCCAAGATATAAACTTCGAACGCGAAACCTGTAACAGCAAATTCCCTCCTGCTGGCCTTTGGCTTTGCTTCCTTCCTTTTGCTTCCTTTTTATCTCTTTTTCACGCATCAGTGATATTCTAAACCTAATGATATCTACAATTTTCCAAATCTTTTATATACATCCGTTCGTAATCATATTTTCATTATTAATGATAAACAAGACCAAAAAGAACGACCACCCTCAAGAAATGATGAAAAATGTTGGATCAAACGTAACACGTTGAATAAAAATTAAATTTGAACTAAAGACGCCGATTGACGCAAATGCGTTCACAACCGAGCAGAATGAAAAACCATTTCGAATATTTTTCGATTCTCGACCATTTAATAGCGGTAAATTAAAAAAATTTGTTCACCTTTAGCTCTACCAACCTTTCACCCAATTTATCCATGATAACTTGTTGCGATCCAAGTTTCTCTTGCCCTTTCCTACCCTCCTCCTTACTCTCCTGCATCAGCAGTTTTCTTTTACATTTTTATTTTACTTTAGCTTGATTTTTAATTAATTTCATGAAAGTAGAAAAAATATGATAAGAAATGTGAGATAATAGAAAAAGAAATAAATTAAAAAAACATAAACGAGAGTCAGGAATAATTAATGATGTTACTACTACTACTACTACACTACAACTACTAATACTATTACTACTACTACTACTATTACAATTACTGGTCGCCAGTACGTCTGAAACGATCGTCGGATTTTGTTGTCTCGTCTCGTCTCGTCTCGTCTCGACGTCGTATTTTGGCAGTCGCGAATTACACGTAGGACACACCACACCACACACATACACATAAACGCATACATGCATACGTGCGCGTGCGCGTATGCATGCACATATAAATATAGTCGGAGACGAACCGCATTCACAGCTATTATATATGCAATTCGTACCGTAACAAAGACAATTAATTGTCCGTGACACCGTGGCTCGATGTACAAATTCCTTGGCCATGCCATGCCATGGCTTGCTTCCTTTTTCATAATAATAATAATAATTCTACGATTCACCAATTACAATTACAATCGACACATGCCAAGTCTTCAGATGAATTATTATCATTATTATTATTATTAAATCTTAATCTTGTAGTTGTATTCAAGAGAAGGAAAGGAAAAAAATGAAAGAATAAATCGTTTGATTAGAAATGAAAGAAATAAACAAACATGGTTGAATGAATAAAAGAAAATATTTCTATCGATTAAAAGAAGAGGAATACATCAAAACGATGACGTTCAAAAGAAGAAGAAAAAACACCCAGCAAAGAAGTCGTTTTTCTCTTCTGGGGCGTTTGCTATCGAAAGAGAAAAAAGAAAAAAAGAAAAAGAAGAAGAAGAAAAATGAAAGAAAAAAAAAAATAAAAAAATAAAAATAAAAAAAAAATGAAAGAAAGAAATAGAGAAAGATTTCTCGAAGTGTACTCTGCGAATTCCGAGGTTATCGTTTAAAGTCTTCGAACCCAATGACGTCTTTTATCATACGAGTTATGAAAATTGTTTCTTTCTCTCTTTTTTTTTTTTGACGTACTACTCCTACTACCACTACTACTATGACACGACGAATGTATCAAAATATTTGCATATGGCTAACCTTTTCAAAAAGAGAGTGAGAGAATAAAATAAAAGAAATAAAGAAAGTAGAGAAAACGCACGAGTTGGGAGACATATGTGGGGGCAGATTGTAAGAGGATATGAAGGGGATGTGAGAAAGGGATGTGAAGGGGAAGGAAAGGGATGTGGGGAGAGGCTAGCTAGAAGAGTGTGGCGCCCTAGATTCGTACGTTCCTATCACGACGATCGACCGCCCTCGTTTTCTTCTCCCCCTATGCCAGTAGAGGAGGTATACGTACACGTCGTCGTCATCGTCGTCGTACTATGAGTATAAAAAAAAAAAACCTGTGCGAGTTTTCCAAGATTTAACCCAAAGAAACGTTTCCTCCACCATCATCATCTCTTCCTTTTTTTCCTCTTCTTCCCCATCATATAACCAACCACCTTCTTCATCATTTTTTTTTCTTTATCGTTCGTCGAATACACGGCTCAGCGCGCGCGCGCGAAACTCGATTCGAAAATAAAAAAAAAAAAATAAAAAAGGGCTTGCTTTTGCCGAGAGTGACTCGAGTTTAAAGCTTTAAAGGGGGGTTCCATCTCTCTCTCTCTCTTTCTCTCTGCGTTTCCACGGAGGCCGTCGAAAGGGAAAGCTCAAGCGGGTGTAGTAGTTGGAGCGTTAACAGGAGAGTAGTGTAGTATAGCAGCAGCAGTAGCAGCAGGAGTAGAAGCAGCAGCAGTAGAAGCAGCAGCAGTAGAAGCAGCAGCAGTAGAAGCAGTAATGGGAAGAAGAGAAGGATGGAAGGTGTTTGAGGGGTGGTGAGACGCCTGCTGCTGCTGTTACTGCTGCTACTGCTCTGTACCTCGTACTGGTATTGATCGGACACTACTCGGCTCCAGAGGAGACTAGAGACGCGTATAATGTCCACGGGGTACGTTCTGAGAGCACGAGAACGAGCACGAGAGAGAAGGATAGAGAGGGGGAGAGAGAGAGAGGGTGAAGTTGGTCGATCGATCGAGAAGAGAGACGATACGAAAGAGAAAGAGAGAGAGAGATTCAACTTCTCCGAGGGTGCCGATGTGCTGCTGCTACTGCTGCTGATTCCTTCGTGAACGTTTCTTTAAACACGTGGTATGTGCTGCCTAACACATACATATACACAGAAAGAAAAAAAAACGTCCCTTTGAAATCTTCCCAATTAATCGAGTCATTTCCTTTTTTCTTTTTATTTTCCTTACGATTCATTCGATTCATTGAATCTTAATCGAAAAGGTAAATGCACATGTTGTTGGGATGAGGAGGAGACGCCAGGGGAAAGTGATAATACAAAATATAAATGAAGATGATGAGAATATGATGAAAGGTTTTCTTTTTTTTTCTTTTTAATTTTTACAAATGCAATTTATATTAACTTGAGTAAAAAGAATGAAAGAAATTTGATAAGAGAATTATTAAATGTGTTCTTTCTTATATTATCGCATGAAAGATTTTGTTCTCTCTCTCTCTCTCTCTCTCTCTTGGCAATCTTGAGAAAATGAAGATTTTTTCTGTTAATGATAGATGGAGAAATCAATCACAATCGATAGTTTTCCTAGGTCTATTGATTTAATCGTTAATTTGTACATCATACGTATTATAGGAATATAACGTGAGCTAGTTACGGAAAGAGAGAGAGAGAGAGGTTAGATCCGACGTAGCACGTGTAATCGGGCTGCCAATTATCGTTATCGCCCAAGGCCACGAGACGGATAGGTTCCATTGGACGGTTGACGACGACGACGACGGTAACTATGACGATGTGTTGTATTATTTAAACGTTTCTACAACGTGACTAATAATTCACCCGAGTATGTAATTTAAATATTATTCTTCATTTAACTATTTCTTCTATTTCTCTTTTTTTTTCTTTATATTATAAAAAACTACGTAAATATGTAGGTAGGTTTGCTTAATTAACAAAATTTCAAATGAAAAATATTAATGGAATTTATAAGGACAATGACAACGACAACGACGACTAGAACGACAAGTAAGAGGAAAACGACGATGACGTCATTGACAAAGAAAAATAAAAATAGTCACGATAACGATAACGTTGGTCATCAGAGAAACACTGCCCCCGCGTACTCGTTGATCTGAAAATAATAGTGACTAGCAGTAGTAGTAGTAATAATGGTGGTGGTGGCGAGAACGAATCGATGATAACGACCAAGACAATAATACATATATTGTTTCAATTATGATTCATTTACTACAATTTTTATTTAATTTTTAATTTTATTTTTCCTCTTCGGTAGAAACAAATTTCACTCATACTTTTGTCAATGACGAAATTTTCATAACATGTAGTAATACCCCCTATGGAAGAAACATTTTCACGTTTACCTCATAGTAGTCCGATCCGTCGTATTGCGACGTATAAAAGCAGCGTCGAAGAACGTGACGCAACCTGTGGCCATTTTCACGAGAGTATAGACAGAAAAAGAGAGAAAGAGAGAGAGAGAGAGAGAGTACCCGCATGCAAGAGCAATATTTATATACTGCAAAGAGAGTGAGAGTGAGTGAGACAGATCATAGATACGTTAATGTGTACGTACGCACGTACATACGTACGCACCACACTTACACACTTACGTAACTTCCCAGCAGACGCTTCCCGTTTGACGGAGATAACGCTAACGAG